GAAATTCATAACAAACAAACAGACGTAGTTACTCTATTCCTCATTTTCTCATGGGCTTCAAGAGATATTACTTGTTTTTTTACTCTTCTTGCCTCTGGTGTTCGCATAATTAACAGCACTTTCAGAAGGTAGAGCGGATTTTATTTTATTTTTTTAAAAAGCGTGTACTTTTCCACTCCCTGTAAAATCTATCTCCAGTATTCGCTCTAATAAAATACTTTTAAGGCCGAACGAAGTCTCAACAAGAAACCGTTATAATTACGCTTACTTGAGAAGGAAGAAAAACCACACTTTCTGTTTCTGGTTGGAAGTAAACAAAGAACGTTTACAAAGTCATTACGTCGCAAACATGAACGACAAAGCTGTCCGTTAAGTCCTCGTCAGCAGGTGGTTCGGTATGACGAGTTTTCGTACAGATTTTGTTTTGCTGCCACAAGTTCCGGCGTAGAAATATAATATTTTAAAACAAGCTAAATACGGGATGTAGGAGAAAAAAAGTGTCCATAAACATGAGAAGAAATTCCATATAAACCAAGTTATGACAGACCACTAACGACACGCTGTTATAAAACGGGATATCACACGTTGGCGGTGCTCGGTGAACATTATACTGTAGTTAGAATTTAGTGATAAATATGCAGGGGGTAGAATCAACTAAACATTATACAGTACGTAGAGCTTGGTGAACAGTGTACAGTAGATAGATAACAGTAAAAGTAGGTGATTATTGATTATGTATATATATACAGTAAGGGAATAACACGTATTTATAAGCTAAGAATGAATAGCATATAGTTGTTAAAGGATAGTGAAAGTACGTAATGGTTAGTGATATATTATACAACAGGCAGTATAGTATGGTGCTCTGTAAACTATAATATACAAGGTTAATGTTTATAGGGTGAGTTTCGAACATTTGTTTGTTTGTTTTTGAATTTCGCGCAAAGCTACACGAGGGCTATCTGCGCTAGCCGTCCCTAATTTAGCAGTGTAAGACTAGAGGGAAGGCAGCTAGTCATCACCACCCACCGCCAACTCTTGGGCTACTCTTTTACCAACGAATAGTGGGATTGACCGTCACATTATAATGCCCCCACGGCTGAAAGGGCGAGCATGTTTGGTGGGACCCTCTGTACCCGCGACCCTCTGATTGCGAGTCGAGCGCCCTAACCACTTGGCCATGCCGGGCCACCGAACATTTGTAAACGATACTTTATATAAAATTACCGCGTTGAAACTTCAAAAATTTTCCCCTTTGACAGAAGTCAGTTTCGGGTTAAGCACGTGCCAACGTAATCATTCTTACGAGTCGACGTAGAACATGAAAATCATGTAAATTATGAAAGTTTTGTACATATTTGTAATATATAGATCGTGTTCTGAAGAAATAAAAACTAGTGTTAATTAAATCATAGTCAGAACGAATTATTTAGAGCTACAGTTCTTTAACTCATTACAAACACAAACATACACACTTATCAATCAATCTATCTATCTATCTTGTATTTCAAGCCAATCAATAAGGTTAAATGCAAGTAAGACAGAAATAAAACTAGGTTAAAATTAGAGAGTAAGAATAGTGGGAGCAGGAACGTTGTTAGAATTTTTACAATTACACCTTGGGGGACTTGTTTCTTGTTTCAAGTTAAGCACAAAGCTACACAATGGGCCATCTGTGCTCTGCCCACCACGAGTATCGAAACCCGGATTCTAGCGTTGTAAGTCCGCAGACATACCGCTGTGCTACTGGGGGGGGCTCCTGGGGAATCAAATGATCTTGAATTTTATCAAAAGAATGTTTAGTTGATATCAGTTATATGTATATATTAAATATATTTATTATTATTATTTGCAGCACCGAACTATACGTGGATACGCATTTTTTGGTAAAGTTAGGGACATCTGTTGCTGTGTTATCTTTATAAATAACTGTACTGCTAAATGAATACTGCCTTTTATAATAGTCCAAAAGAGCTTGCCCGAGTGAACTAAAACATTAGCTTGTCAATATGATATATAAACATAGCATTCTTTATGGGTTGTTTTATTGAAAACCCGCATTTAATATTGTTACGTTTCAAAACAATTGCCTCCCCCCCCAATAGTTCATTAGTACGTCTGATGGCTTATAACTCTAAAAAACGGGTTTCGATACTCGTGGTGGGCACTGCACAGCTAGCCCATTGTGTAAATTTTGCGCTCAACAACAAACAAACAAAATAAAAAATCCCTCCTCTCCATTAGTGGGTCAGCGGTAAGTCTACAGGCTTAAGACGCTAAAAATCGATTTTCGATACCCGTAGCGAGCAGAGCACAGAAGATGGTTCATTGCGTAATTTTGTGCTTAACAACAAACACACAAACAAAAGGCAGAACAGTTGCCATTCCCCCAGTGGCTCAGTAGAACGTCTGCAGGTTTACGACGCTAAAAATCGGGTTTCGATATCCGTGGCGGGCAGAGCACTGCGGATATCCCATTGTATAGCTTTTCGCTTAACAACAATTAAAAACAAACCATTTCAAAACAATTTAGTTATGAAAACAGATTAAAAACGTGTGGTAGAGGATGAGCTTACCCTAATATACAGGGTTTAATAATGGTAGATAAACGACGAACCGCCGCTTAGGTTATCGTAGAAATGTCGATAACAATGCATTGAGGTATGAAAGATTAGTCATAGGTTTTGCGGTCAATGTTGCATAGATCAGATACCAAATTACTCGTAAGCTCAATTTATCGTGTTATCATTTCTTCATGTAGAACACGTGGTTACTAACAGCGCTATACACGTGGTTACTAATAGCGCTATAATAGCATGCTCCACAGTGTTGCCTTAACCAAGTTGATGACAAAAGGAAAATATAAACACGTGGCCAACGAGAGTGTACCTATTTAACCGAAGAGAATAGTCTTAACAAAACAAAATGATAATTTTCTACAAAACATCGAGCGAAAGATTAACACCAGCCGTAGAAAGTGTTTTAACACCAAAAATATTCACGGGGATAATCACTCACCATTTCAATAGACCCATAATGGCGACGACTGAAGACCCCACGCCGGGCTGCAAGGTCAGTTGACGAAGAACTGGCGGAAACAGAAAATACAGAATGTGTTAGTTGAGGTAAAAACATACAACACAAACGCACCGAAAAATAGAAACTGGGAGAGAAGTTTTACGTTAATGACTTCAGAATTAAACGTACTACATAATATTCATTAGATAACACAGGAAATCTATTTTGTTATTTTTCGTGGCTGATAAATAATTTGATTACAGTATCAGATATTGTTGATAACGAAAAAAATAGATGGAAAAACATTAAGGTTAATCTTGCCGTTACAATTACGGAATGGTGAAAAAGAAGAGCGTTTCAAACGTTTAGTAAGTGCGATTACAACACAGTTTAAACACGTTGTTCATCCTATAGGATTAACTAGTAATAGTGAAAAGTTAGCTAATAATGAACAAGGTAATATATCTAATTTAGAATCACTAGTAGTAGCAGAGCAGAACACTAAAACCTTGTATAACAATTAAGTAAAAAAGTAAAAAGAATATTGGTTGAATGACCAGCATCCTCAATTACCAAAACGTATATGGAATATAATATATAGAAGTCGGGCAGAAAAACGTAACGCGGATATACAGTGGAGACTTATGTATGATGCATTACCTAACCCACTATGGTTAAAGTGAATAAATGTGACTGAATATGAATTGTGTCCGTATTGTAATACTATGATAGGTAACAATTGGTACATGTATTTTTAGGTGTATTGTAATACCATGATAGGTAACAATTGTACATGTATTTTAGGTGTATTGCACATGAACTTTTAATAGACATGATTTTTAAGTTATCTTCAACAATTTTGGAAAGAACATGTGAATCGTATCATTATTGGTATTTATGGTCTTATAAAAGTTGTAATAATTATAAATTAATTGAGGTATATAATTTGATCATTATTTTACGAAAGAGTATTATATACAGTTATTGGTGCGAGATACAAAAAACTAAACATGTTCCGTATCTTAAAACAATTAAAAGAGAAATTAATTAATAGATTGAAGTCACGGATTACATTAGAAAAAAAATGTAGGCCTAACAAAATGGTGGATTAGAATTATTAAAAAAAAATTGGATTAGAGAATGTAGATGTAATATTATAGATCAAAATATTGTGAAATTTCATCTTCTCGAATAATTTATTATTTTTTTTCATTCCTGTGGGATATGTGTATATATGTATATTTAGTTATACTTTTAGTAATTATTGTATGATAAATAATATTTGATGATGTGATTGAAATTTGAAAAATAACAGCTTGAACGTTTTAATAAGAAATAAATTAATTCAACATTTTACAACTGTTACTTCTGAGGTTATTGATTAGAGTTATATCATCCATTTTACGTATGTAGTAATATGTAATATTTATTTATGGATGTTACAGATAAGAGTGATAAATCTGTTATGTAAATAATCTAATGTATAAATACATTTTTATTTCATTTTAAAACTGGTTGTTTGGTGTCAAACTTGTAAAAACTGATTTGGTTGTTTTAATAAAAAGTATAAAATGTATCTATTTCTATTGGCGTGTACAATGAAACTTTAATATCAGTGTTTCTCCATGACATCGATTTATTTTCGAGGTATTTTGTTTCATTCAAGCACTTTTCGGGCTTCATTTCACTCTACATCAATAAGGGCAAAACACATAACGCTGAACGTGGAGATCCAAAACCAATCAAAACTCCGTTCGGCAAACATTGTTGAATGAGTGGTTTTGTGAAGTTAGAAGTCGACGATTACCGTTCGTTATCTGTGTTTCCTAACAACTCGTGGCAAGCGATTCAAACAAACTTGAAATTAATCTGTGATACGTGAGCTAGTCTGTCGGAGTTTTAACAATCAAAACCGCGGTAATCCAGACAGCAAAGTTTCACACGTTCACTATTTATAACATGCCTACGTTTTAGAGAAACTACTACGTGTTTAACACATTTGGTTGCGACACGAATTGTCTTGAACAACACATATATTTTGATCTAACAATTCTAAAAAAAAAAAAAATAAGTCTATTTAATACAGTATCGCATTGAATAAATGTGTAAGAGAAATATATTTATTGGTTACTAGGGTGATACAAGGGATTTCTGTACAGGTACTGGTTACTAAGGGGACTCAAGGAATTTCGGTACATCATACATGTCTTGGTTACTAGGGGATTCAAGGAATTTCTGTACATGTACTGGTTACTAAGGGGACTCAAGGAATTTCTGTACATGTATTGGTTACTAAGGGGACTCAAGGAATTTCGGTACATCATACATGTCTTGGTTACTAGGGGATTCAAGGAATTTCTGTACATGTACTGGTTACTAAGGGGACTCAAGGAATTTCTGTACATGTATTGGTTACTAAGGGGACTCAAGGAATTTCGGTACATCATACATGTCTTGGTTACTAGGGGATTCAAGGAATTTCTGTACATGTATTGGTTACTAGGGTGATAC